AAGCCTAACAATTTGATTCAACCCGTCACTTCAAAGTCTGTGATTGAAAATTTTGGTTGTTTGCAATATATATTGGAATTTGTTGTTTTAATTTTTCATGGTTTAATTGTGTTGTTTATTAGGTGGTCCAAGATTGCGGCGAGGCTTCCAGGACGAACAGACAATGAGATTAAGAATCACTGGAATACCCACATCAAGAAAAAGCTTCTCAAGATGGGAATTGATCCTGTCACTCATGAACCCTTGAACAAAGAAGAAAAGCGCACCGAAAGTTCCTCTCCGCAGCCCACAGAAAACAATAATCATGCCGCAGAAAATGATGCCTCGGCCAACTCAGAAGACAATTCCTCCAGCATGCTCGCTGAAAATTGTTCCAGTGATGATTCCAATCTGTTAGATAGCATTTGCTATGATGAAGCTTTATTGGACATCCTATTGATGGACGCAGCTCCCCTGGTTGATGCATCATGGGGCATCATTAATCCACCGGAAAATGGTAACTGTGGCACCATGGCAACTGCCTTGCCATCTTGGGAGGAGGATAACTGTTCATGGCTATTAGACTGTCAGGATTTTGGAATTCATGATTTTGGATTCGATTACCTTAACGACAATATTGAATTAAACGCTATGAACACATTAGATATCGGGGACAAGAACTAGAAACCTATATTTTAAGCTTCGAATGTGCACATAAATGTTATTAGGTTTCAATCAGTTCAGTTGAATTTCTGTCGTGTTTCAGAAGGTAAATCAACCTCGTTTCTTAAGAGGTTTCTTACCAACCAATTCAAAAGTACTGATTCCAACACAAATGTTGTCAAGAATAGATGTGATCATATGTTTATTTTATTTCCCCGAAATGTTGTAGCCTTTTAAGTTTTCTGTAAAAGATAGGGGAATTAATGAGAGAAGATTACCCTGAAAAGGGGAAAGAAAAGAATGATTAAAAAAGATAAAGAGACAGGGGATATACTTCTAAAAAATGGTAGTTGGGGTTGTGAATGTGAAGGGGAATAAAACCTGATCAATTCTATGTATATGAAAAGTAGACAAAGGAAATCAAAGTGATAAAGCTCCATCTTCAAAAACTGATTCAGATAAGAAGCCTTATTTCATTGCAATTATTATGTTTGAAATGATGATGAAAAAATTTAAATATCTTTGATGAATCAATATTTAAAAAATATTTATTGTTACTAATTTAAATAATTTAATGGTCATTTTCTTTCATCAAAAATAAGAAATTATGAATTCGAATCGCATGGTTTACGAGTATAATAAAATAAGTGATGAGAGATAATCATTTTTTATTGTGTAACTAAAATAAAAAAATATTCATTAAAAATATTTAAATAATTTCACAGTCAATCCAAACATCTCTGACTTTTTCTTCTTTTTTTTTTGTTTTCTCTTCCTTTCTTTTCTAACTTTTCACAATATGGCGATACATATGCCCATCAGGAATTCCATATATATAATTTTTGATGCACTTTTTCAAACGCAATTTTTTTCCTGCAAAAATTAAGACAAAATGTAATTTTTTTAAAAATGCTTCTAATCTTTTAGACATTTATAGGTATAATTTCTTCACTATTCTTTTCTTGGCAGAGCTGCATTATAGATGTGACTAGGATGATACCAAGCTACTAGCTAGCTTTCCATAATTTAAGAAGATGAATTAAAAAGTAACTAATTATTTTAAAAAGCTTGAGCATGCTGTCAGCACTAGCTAATTTAATCGCACTTTTTTTGGGTACATCCTTAATGGCACCTTTTTTCAGCAATAACTTGATCATGTTCTATATATCTGTCTGAATACACCAATTAGCTTTAGTCGTTGGTTAGTGCTGCTAATCATAAGCTCCAAAAGCATTCGGACTATATATTTCACTAATTAACCTAACACCATCACTGAGGAAGGACTGATTTTCCAGGCGGCAGAATCATCCCAAATTCTTGTTTCTGGTAGAATTGGAGATTAGATGATTTAATTTCACAACGGTACAACTGGGGTTAGTTTGTTTTCGGATTTTCGAGAATCACGAGACTTTATTAATCTCTTTGTTTTAACTTTGTTTATATTCCTGAGAAAGATTCCCAGCCACATTGCACTATCTAGCTTACACAGTGAAACTGTGTGCACTAAATGAATACCAAATGGTACCAGATTAATAAACTTTCTTAATTAATTGTATCCTTGTGCTTGTTGGAGAAGAAGATCTTTAAATAATTTGACAACCTTATTATACAATTCAATTGTGAATTGATGGTTTTGGCTAAATTGAGTCATCTGATTCAAAGATTGAAGTTTTACATTCCTTACTGAAATCAATAGTTTTGACCCTTAATTAGAAACACTAAAAAGGATACTAATATAGGATTGACAAGTTAAGCAATACAAGCAAGAATACAATTTGTTATGTGGTTAATTGCATAATCATGATCTATAGATTCTGTAACCATGAATTTTCTTGGAAAACAAGTTAATTAATATTATAAATTTATTGCGAATAAAGCCATTAATCAAGGACCACAACTCCAAGATTATATATTATGCTTCAAGGTATACATAGACTTACAAATTCAAATGGGAAAATGCTAGAAATTCAATGGTTTTTTAAAAAATAAATATATATAATTAAAAGAACCGAAAATTAATGGTCCCTGAGAAGCATTAAGAGTTGGAGGAATTAAAAAGGAGATATAGGCCTGCTAAAAATTAAGAAAAAGGAGGAAGGGCCTCTCTAAAAGATTCTCAATCCCACATTACTGGTATATGGGTGACCTAAAAGAAAAGTCAATCATTTTGGCTTTGCTTATTTGTGGGTTTTTTGAGTTGAGAGGAATCATCTTCTATAAATAATAATGATAAACTTTTCTTTGAACACCCTAGAAGTGTCCTATTTCAATTTGTGCAATCAAGAATGAAAAAGGTACATGTGCTTCCATTAATTTTCCTCACAGCTCTATATTCTGGCACCACAGAGTTAAACTCTGGTTAATATATATGATGTTCTGCCTTGTAGTTTTCCATCTTTGTGGGGGTTACTATTAATTGTTTTTTATGAATTTTTCATGTGGGATAATTTGGGTTTTATATGCTGCCTTTGAAAGTAATCAAAACCCACTTGATGGCTATAAGTAATGAGACAAATTTTGGTGAAGAGAATTTGGCTGTCTCAGTATTATCTTAAAAATGTGATGTATATATGACTCATGTGGACGTCAATGCTTAGATCATGAAGTTTGGTCCATGTTAAACTTTTTTTTGCACTTAGATGCATTTGTGAGGCTACTTTATGAAGTTTCTTTGTCAATGTGACATTTTTCTCAAAAATGAGAAAGGGCCAAGTTGAGGGAATTGGGCTTGAATTTGTTTATTCGTTTGGGCTTTTCCTTAGGTGGGCATGAGTACATGGGTGGCAACGATGTATTTGAGTTGTCCAGCCCAGCTCAGACCAGACGAGAAACTTACCTCTTCATGGCATTTCCATTTTAGA